AAACAGTGGATTTTATATTTGATCCCGGAGGTATGAAAGAGTCACTGGGGTTTACTGAATAGAAGGGTGAGATGATCACACCTGTGCTTAAGATCAGTTTGCCTGCTGAGTGGAGAAAGACTTCAGACAGCTTCCCCAGAAGTTTCCTGTCCCTCACTCCACCCTTTTGGTAACTGGGATGCCGGTAGTATTAATGAGGACTATTAAAGTTCATGTTTGGTTTCCTTCCTGTCTTCTAGCAGCTACCCCTTTACTTCCACAGAACCACTCTCTAGTGAAAGCTGGAAGAGAACATCTAATTCAAGTCACACTTGAACAAGAATCTCCTCTCCATCTTGCCCAACAAGTGGTCTTTCCAGCTTCATTCAATTCAAGACCTTTAGCAAGGGAAAATCTATCACCTGAAGCAGCCTATAACAGGTTTTGATTGTTCTAATTTTTATAAAGTTTATTCTTTCTTTGAGCCAAAAATCTGCCTCTAGACAGTTTCTATGGATTGCTTGAATGTGCTCTCCAGGGCAAGCCAAGGCAGCTAAGTGGCAAAGGGGGTAAAACACTGAACTTGGAGCCAGGGAGATGTGAGCTTAACTGCTAGCTGAAGCATTTCCCAGTTGTATGGCCTTGAACAAGTCAGTTTCCTCATCTGTAAAAAGAGGGTTATAATAGTACCTACTTTGAAGGTTGTTGTGAAGACCAAATGTGATAATGTATGTAAGTGCTTTGCAAGCCTTACAATGCTGTATAAACGTTAACTATTACTATTAAACAGAACAATTCTAATCCCTTCATATAATTAAAGTATTCATGTCACCCATAAATCTTCCCATCTCTAGGTCATCTGGTTCTTTTTTGGCATAGTCTACAGACCTTTCCCCATTCTAGTCACCTTCCTCTAGGAGATAATCAATCCATCCTAATACATGTTGTTCCAACCTGAATACAATGTTCCAGATGTGATCTGACCCAGGCAGAATACTGCAGGATTAACATGTCCCTTGGGTGATCTCCTTTGCTGGATCCTCTTCCAAATCATGCTAACTGGCTTCCTGGTTCTTCAGGGTTCTGACCTCTTTCCTTTATACTACTTCACTTGGTGATCTCGTGATCTGCCATGGATTTAATTACCATCTCTAAGCAGATGATTCTCAAATCTACCTATCCTTCCCCAACCTTTCTGCTGACCTCTAATCTTGTATCTCCAATTGCCTTTCAGATGTCATAAACTGGCTGTCCAGCAGACATCTTAAACAGAACTCATGATCTTTTCCCCTAAATACTTTCTATTTTATTCTACCTTTTCATATAGTAGTCACTGTAGTGAGCAACACCATCCTCCCAGTGTGTCAGATTGTGAAACCTAGGAGTGTTCCTAGACTCTTATGTCCTGGCCCCCATATCTAATCTATTGCCAAGGTCTATTATAGATTTCACCTTGGCAACATCTCTCATATATACATACTCTCTTCTCTCCTGTGACACTACCACACCCTGCTGCAGGCTCTCATCACCTCACACCTAGACCACCGTAATATCCTGCCAGTGGGCCTGCTTGCCTCATCTCACCCCACTCCAATTCATCCTCCATTCAGTTGTTAAAGTGATTTATGGGGTCCAATAATGTCACTTCCCTACCCCCTCACTCAATAAACTCTAGTGGTTTCCTATTACCTCCAGGATGGAATACCAAATGCTCTGTTTGGCATCCAAAGTCCTTCATGAACTGGCCCCTTCCTACCTTTCCAGTCTTCTCATACCTTCCCCAACATGGACTCTTTGATCAAGTGATGCTGGCCTCCTTGCTGTTCCCTGAAAAAGACACTCCATCTCTTGGCTCTGGGAATTTTCTCTGGTTGTTCCCCATTCTTGGAATTCCTCTTCTCCAATTACAGACCTTCCTGACTTTATTTTAGTTCCAGTTAAAATCTCACCTTCTACAGGAAGCCTTTCTCTCTCTCCTTTAATTCTAGTGCCTTCCTTATGTTGATTATTTCCAATTTATCCTTTACATATCTTGTTTGTACATATCTGTTGCCTCGTCGTTGCCCCCACTAGATTGTGAGCTGCTTGAGGGCAGGAACTGTCTTTTGCCTCTTTTTGTCTCCAGCACAGTAATAGGTCCTTAAAATGTGAGGAAATCAGAGATCCAAAAGGGAGAGGGGAACAGCATTTGAGTGAAGATCAAAGGAGGCAGAAAGCAGAAGCAGTGCAGTCATTAGAGTACACTAAAGAGCACGTGGTCAAAAAGGAAACAGATGAAAGTCTGGGAAACAGATCATAAGCCTGGTACAGACTTTATGGATTCTCTGGATCTCTCTCCCTTCCTCTTTCTCTTTCCCTCCCCCTCCCTGTAAGTCTCTGTCTCACTCTTCAAAAAGTTGAACAGCTAATAATTTCTTGACTTACCTTAATGATAATTTCATTCTTCAAGTGGCAAAGAACTCACAAGGGAAAATTCTATTCTGAATCTAATTTTCACCAGCAAAGTGGAATTGATTTGGAGTGAGGGTGGGGCAGGGGAAAATGGGAATTATGGGACCCTTGAGGGGAAGTGACCACTTCATGTTAGAATGTATAGTGGAGAAAGAGAAAAGCTGTGCATTGTCTGACATGAACTTTAGTTTTTTGAGATTTCAAAGGATTCAGAGAAAGAATAGGTTAGGATCCCACAGCCTAAAATTCTATAGGGGATGTTAGCCCAGGAGGGATGGGAAGCTTTCAAGAATTAAATTTTAAAGAAAATCTAGAGTTGTTCAGTTCTTACTTTATTTCTGCATTGTCTGCCAAGGAAAATGATTTTTGGAATGGAAAGTAAAATACAAAAACTGATCAAAGGCACTTGGTTCTTAAGACAGGAATGGGGAACAGTGAGAGAGCACCTAGCTAGATGTGATGAGACCTAGTCAACAGGCCCAGATGAAGGAAATTCCAGGGTTCAAAAAGAACTGCCAAATATGGCTGCTAAGCCTTTGCAATGATATTTGAAATATAATGGAAAAAGTCAGTAATAATAAAGGAACTCTTAATAATAGAAGAACTAATTAAAAAAACTATTGTGAGGTTTCATTTCACACCCAAACAACTGGCAAAGATGACAAAGGACGGAAACAATCAATTCAGAGATTAATGCATTGCTCATAGAGCTGTGAATTAATCTAAATGTTCTGGAAAATAATTTGGAACTATGATGGAGAAATTATTACGAAACTTGGACTCAGAGAGACTTCATTCCAATATGATTATCTGACTACAAATGATTGTTCTTTGGGACTGGTCTCTCAACTAAGTTTTGAATCCACCCAGTTTTACTATTGTCTAACTCATATTTGCTCATCTTCCCTTATGGAAAACTACAAGGATAAAATAAGATGCTTTGTCAAATAATGGGTGAGGGGAGGTATGGTACGACCAGTTTTTGATGAAACCATTCTGTTTAATCATCACTGTAACATCAGGAATGATGATTATGAGGAATTCAGAGAAATTGGGAAGACATACGAACAAAAACTTACATGACTGAAAGGAATATAAGCAGAACCAAGAGACAATAGAAACAATGACTATAGTCCATAGTAATATAAAAGGAGAATACTAAAAGTCCCAAAAATTCAAATCAATGCGATTACCAATCTTAGCTCCAAATGAGTAATGATAATGCAGCATATCTCTCCCTCTTCTCAGTAGAAAGGTTCTTACAAGGAAGAAGTCTATTGATGGGAGTAGGATGGAGACATAGAGGTGAAAGTCTTCTGCAGAATTATCAGGAAATGATAGTGATATGACAAACCAACCAAAAAAGCATTAATAATTTAAAAAAGTTTTTTTGTAAATTTTTAGGCAGTTGGGGTTAAGTGATTTGCCCAGGGTCACATAGCTAGTAAGTGTCAAGTATTTGGTCTGAGGCCAGATTTGAACTCAGGTCCTCCTGACTCCAGGGCTGGTGCTCTATCCACTGCACCACCTAGCTGCCCCCAATAATTTTTTTCTTTTTAAAGAAAAGAAAGATTATGGAAAACTTGAGAGGTTCTACAAGTCTAGAGAATGGAAAATACTACCCTGCAAAGTACAGACCAGTAACTTGATTATGATTACTACCAAACTTCTATAAGACTACTTATAGAACTGGTAAGGCAAAAAAGTCATTCAATAGGAGAAATGTTGGTGCTACCCACAGCTACTTAAATTGTCAAAATGATGTTCGATGAACCACATGCAAAGTAGCTTAGAGCTGTTCCACTTATAGATGATACAATGGGAATCACGCTGTCTGAAGATCTTTAGGATCTTTCTGATCACTGAATTGAGAAACTAAACTCTTCTTATGTTGCATTACGAATGTATGAAGCAGCAAACATAGTTGAAAATGTTCACTGGTTACAAAGTAAAACATGTTATTGAAATACAATTAGGGAAAGAAGATTTGTTATTTTGTAAACTTCTTCACAGCAATGTCTCAGCAAGAGAAATATAACTGATGGATTTTTTAAAAATGAAAATGATAAAATGGCGAAGAATTTCATTGAACTCTATGCTGACATAGCTCCAACGATGTCCAAATGAAATACAGTCCTACACGCCATAATCCCAGTTACCTAGGAGGATGAGATCAATGGATCTCTTGAGCTTCAGACTTGGAGCTTCAGTGGCCTAAACCAATCAGGTGACAAGACTAAATCTGGCATCAAGGTGGTCAGTCCCTGGGAGTAGGGGACCACCAGGTTGCCACTGAACCAGATGGGAAACTGAGCAGGCCCAAGTTCTTGTCAAGATGGAATCAATCTGTGAATAGCCCCTTCCCTTCCAGTCTGGATGTGATAAGGAGACCCAGACTTAAAAAAAAATAACAAATTACTCTAAGGAATAGTGAGCTACGGCGAACTGACAGGTTGGAAGAGCCTTTTCTCCTGAGTAAAATCTACCTCCTACTCACTTCAAAATAATAACATTCCATAGGCCATAATCATACTAAAAATAGATTTTTTTTTATTACAAGTATCTCTTAATAGAAAAATATGCACATATTGTATATAAATATTGTGGACACAGAACAAATAGCTTACATTAATTAGAACTTTCTGAGGACCACAAAACATCGTTGTGTCGTAAACACCTAATAAAGTTAGTTCCTTCAGAAACTTCAAGATTCACCACTTAATCTTTCCCAAATTTTTCTGATAAGAATGTATCAGAACTCAGAATCCTCAGATATCTCTCTGCTTAGAGAAAACCCAGGTAAATATTCATGGGAGAAAATGAATCTTCATAGTGCTGGAATTGGCACACACACTTGTAAACACACAACAACAATTGCACTGACATCCTTTGTATGTGGAATGAAAGGTGGTTCTTCACACAGGAAAATCATTGTCCTCCCTGTCAAGGAAAAACCTATGCTCCTGGAAATAAATCTAGAAATGTAGATCCTCTAATAAGGCAGGGACTCTTTCACATGCATATATGCATACCTGCACACACACACACACACACACACACACACACACACACACACACAGACACACACACCACCCATTCCTTGCCATTCACATTCAGGAATATTCAGTTGAGAACCAGCTTCTCCTGAGGTAGTAAACATATCCATGAAAGATAAGTTTAAAAGGTGCTCTTTACAAGTTTAAAAGCCAAAAGACAACCAAGACTTTTCAGTATAATCTTGGCTGCTGCCACTTGCTTCCCCACCCTCGCCCACCTCCAATGGCCTTCATTGGCTCATGGACCTTGTATGAGGTAAAGAAACAACAGACCCAACATTCTCATGGTCCTTGGATCCTTGTGGTTTGTGTGTCTTCCCTTGACTCCAGGCTGGCTCCCAAAACTCATGGAGCTCCTTATCAAGGCAATATCCTCAGCGTTATAATGGACTGGACACCATCATGAAGCAGTCCCCATCCCCTTTTATTTAGCGTTGCCTTAGAGTTTATATAAGCCAAAAAATGTCTTGGATTCCTCAAAACTGACCAGTGAAAATGCAGAGACATTGACATACAAGCTGTCGGCACTGGTGAGGTTGAACACAGCACCCAGATAGCTGCTTTGGGCCCACATCTGCCTGCTGGTACAGTAGTTCATCTTTCTTTCTTCCATCAGTACCAATGGTTGGGGATAGTTGGGGTTCCTTTTATAAAGTATGTGTTCCAGGGGCTGGTTGTCACACAGCTTGCCCCTGAAGTACACCTTCGAGTAGACAAAGTAAAGGCCAGTGTCATTGATCACCAGCGCCCGGTTCTTGTATTTGACTCCGGAAACAAGGGTGATTCCATAGGTGTCTTCCCATTCGAGTGGGATGCCTTGTGATTTAGGCTTGCCTAGAATCAGAGAGGAGCTTTAAAAGAGGGGCATTTATGCATCTGAACACACTGCTTCCATATCACAACTTCATATGTCCTTGCTATAGCAAGACTCACTTAGAAATAGAGATGTAGCTTGGTATAGTAGAAAGAACATGGGACTTGGCGTCAGGAAGACCTGGGTTTGAATCCTGGCTTTGCCATTCCCTAGCTGTGTGACTATAGGTAAGTTACTCTGAGTCTCAATTCATCTGTAAAAGGAGGGCACTGAACAGGATGATCTTTTAAGGTCCCCTCAGCTCTATGAGTTTATGAATCAATGACACTACATGGGGTATAACAATGAATTTAATTCAACTCCTTGACCTATTGATTAACTCCCTTTGTGACCTTGACTGTGTGTATTGATTCAGCTCCTCTGTGATTCAGGGTTCTAGTCTATGAATTGGAAGTAATAATATCACTCCTCTGCCAACTTCATCGGGACATCATAGTGTCTATAAAGTGATCTGATTCAAAAGCGTCAGGATCCCAAGACCCAGAAACAAAATGGCACTGAAGGGGTATGTGCTAAGATGTCCAAATTCCTAAATCATAATCTACTGAAGTTGGTTAGGACCCTTAGACTCAGATAGTCCAAGCTCTTCTCCAATTCAGAGATTTCCCTCGACAGCATAGGATCTGAGATCAAAAGTTCAAAGGAGCCTTAGATATATGCATAAGATATCATGTATTCAGCCCCTTCGTTTTATATATGAAGGGATGAAACACCAGAGATGTATGTTACTTGCCTAAGATCCTACAGGTGGTAAATAGTGGAGCCAGGAACTGAACTCTTGTTCTCTGATTCCAAATTCTCTAGCCCTTGATACCTCTGTAACATATGCCATCTTTAATACAGGGTCATCCAGACTTGATTTGAAGACTCTTAAAGGCAGGCAGCACACCACTTTGTGAGATATCCTTATCTATTATGGTTGTGGTAAATCGTAGAAATGATTTACTCAAGGAACTCTATATTGATAGCAAATCATTTGTAACCTGTCAATGACGACATTGCTAGAGGTACAAGGAACACACCCCTCCCACTTCCACCATGTTAGCATTTACCCCATTTCTCCTGCCAGATACAGTAGTAGGCTCGGAACTGCTGGGCTAGGTCATTGATTATGCTCCATCCCTTTGCAACGTATACCCCAAAGTCAATGACTAGACACTTAAGACTAGACATTTAAGGTTCTTTTCTCATTCTGTTGAAGAAATGATTAATCATGGCTTCCAAATAACTATCATTGGAAAATAAAACTATCTCTGTGGTTTCATAATAATAAGACACAAGAGTTTTTCAAAGGTATGTACAACCAATTCTGTGGGTTAGTCAGGCAGGCCATGGAGTTTTAGAAATTTGGAGGTATTTCTGTGGTCACTTTTTTACCTAACTAGTTTGCCTGATAAACCTTTCCTTTCTGCCAATGGTTCCCTCTTCCCGTCCTGTGCCCCTGTTACAAACCTGTTAGATGGGCTGCTTTCTTTAGTTCCTTCTTTTCAAATGTGTTGCGATAACCTGTATTATTTTTTTAAAAGAAAAAAAAAGTTCATGAAGAATGAGATGCAAATTACTTCACTGGTAAAAATATAAGCAGGGAATCACCACATGAAAGGAAGCAATTTAGAACACACATGAGGCAGATATCATCAGATCATGTGACTCTTGGTGGTGTAGTATTTCGGCAACAGACAGCTATATATTAATATATCAAACTATACTGAAGAATTGTACAGATCAGGAGGCAAAGGATGCCATAGTTGGAGGGAGTTGACTGAGATCATGTTGGTGATACAACATATATTGAAATACTGGGGTATAACATTGAAAGAGTTTTTAAAAAACATCAACCACTACTATGACTAAGTAGGAAGTAAGGCTTCTAGCTAGCTGAAATACAGATATGCACAACAAAAGCAGGAATGAAGGCTACCTTGGGTTATGATTAGATAGTTTCCACAATCTTCTCTGCTTTAGCACACAAATGAATTTGAACTATAACAAAATGTGAGCTAAGGAGCTTTTCTGCATTTCTTCTGCAGATCTGTCAGCCATAAAGCCCCACTGCTTCTGTACTACATGTTGACTATCAAAAGAGTCTCACAAGTCCCCCTACAACTACACATATTATAACCATAGAAATGATAGAATCTAATGATCACAGCTAATTAATTGGCTCCAGAAACTCTCTCTTCTCTTAGTGATGGTGACTACAAGATGCTCTACGTGGTATTTGCTGATAGATATGGTTTCTACATCAGCTGGTTTAACTGTTTTTCTTCGTTACAAAGGAGGATTCTGGGAGGAGAGGAAGGTTTATATGCGTACTATATATTGTGACATAAACCACAAAAATCATCAATAAAGACTGAAAAACATGAAGGAGGAGGAAGAGGAAGAGAAGGAAGAAGTAGAGAAGGAGATGCAGAAAGAAGAGGAAGAGGAGGAGGAGGAGATAAAAAGAGCATGAGCAAGAAGTCAGCCCAGATCAGGCAGGTAGTGGTGGTACAATGAGACTTCAACCATGGTGTAAGAATTGTCCAATTAGGGGTAGCTAGGTGGTGCAGTGAATACAGCATCAGCTCTGGAGTCAGGAGGACCTGAGTTCAAATCTGGCTTCAGACTTACTAGCTGTGTGACCCTGGGCAAGTCACTTAACCCAAATTGCCTCAAAAAAGAAAGAAAGAAAGAATTGCCCAATTAGCTGAAAAAACTACTAGAAAAGATTTTTAAGAGGTCATCACTTTCTCCAGACCCTTGGTACCCACTTATGACCATGAACAACCAAATGCCAGTAAGGAGAAAAAGCATTAACAACCCTCAGAGAGCTTTCTGCTCCTGCTCTGAGCTCATAAAGCACCCAATGTCAACATATCAATAGCTCGGTTGGCACTGATTATAAAAATCCCTCAGAGTACTATTTTACATTTAACATGCATATATCTCATATCCCACAACTGGCTTCTGAGCTCCTGGAGAATAGGAACCATGATGCACACTTCCAGCATGTGATGAGAGGAGTATTGGACTTGGGAGTCAGGAGAAGGAGCCCTCTCTATTGGAGCTTCAGCTCAGGCACTAAACTGTACAAATTCCCTGAGCTCTAGCTTTCTCATCTATAAAATGTGAGTGATAATCCTTTTCCTCATAGGACTGTGAGGAAAATGCTTTGCAAACTGTAGAGTATTAAATCGATCGGTTGTTAGTGTAGAAGGCAGGGGTTTAAAGCCCACCTCTGATGATCATAGCCCGTCTGATGTTGGGCAAATCACTTAACTTCCCTTGGCCTGTTTCCTAATCTCTAAAATGAGGGAATTGGACTAACTGGCCTGTAGATCTGTGCTTAACCCCAGCTTTAAATCTGTGATCCTATGCTCCTAAGCACAGCCCTCATTTATTCAGCAATCTGTGCCTACAGCATGAAGAGCATTATCCTAGACACTGGGGTGGATATGACGGTTAGCCAAGATGGTTCTTACCATTACCTACTTAGAGTCTAGAGTAGGAGGATAAGCCACAAACCCATGCGACCATAATACACAGTATTACAACAAACATATATTTATAAGATTGAAAAACAAAAGTATCGTGTAAAAGCTGAGAGGGAAAAGATGGCATCAACACTGGGGATTAGAGAAGGCTTCATTGAGAAGATGGCAGCACCAGAGGTAGAGGGCTTTGAACAGCGGGCAGAGTGGTTTCAATTTTGCTGGGATGGCAATAGAAATCTACTGAAGGTTGTTTAGGAAAGGAATGGTATAACTAGATCTCTTCTTTTCTAGTCCCAATACCATTACCCTCACACAGGCCCTCATTAACACCAACTAGACAATCTCAACAGCTACCTAATTGGTTACCCCACATCCACTCTCATGTCCCTCCAATCTACCCTTCTTAGCACTGACAGACTAAATTTCCTTAGCCATCATCCTAATCATTGTTACTACTACGCTTAAGGATCTTCCGTAGCTCTCTGTTACCTACGGAATTCAAACTTGTCTGCTTGGTAGTGAAGGCCCTTCACAACCAGAGTCACCCCTTCTTATCCCATATCATTCTCATCCAGGCACTCTATGCTGCAGCCAGACTGTACCACTCTCCACCCCTCAAACACACCCTATGCTTTCCTCCCTCACTTACCTCTAAAGGCCTCTAAAGTCCCAACTCCTGGGATGTCCTTATTTCGCCTTCATCTATTAAATTCCTAGCTGAATTCAAATGCCACCTCTTCCATGAAGCTTTTTCTGACTTCTCTCTCATCTATACCCAGCCCATGCACTGTCAGTCACAGTCTTCACCTTTACACCATCCATAACACTTCATTTTGTACTTCTCAAATGCACTTGTAACATGACGGTAACATTGTACGTGATGGCTTTCTCTGCTTATGTTTCATCATTCTAGTGGACTATAAGCTATAGTAGAGGCATCTAGGTGGCACAGTAGGCACAGCACTGGACCTGGAATCAGGAAGGCACGAGTTCAAATCCTGCCTTAGACATTTCGTAGCTGAGTGACCTGGCCTAAGTCACTTAACTTCTGCCTGCCTTAATTTCTTCACTAGTAAAAGGGGGATAGTATTGGCTTGTCTATGTTGTGGTAAAGCTAAATTGAGATATTTGTAAAGCACTTTATAAACCTTAAAGAGCATTTTATCATTACTATTATTAATACTAATTTTTAGTATTGTTGTTATTAATTATATGGTAATTAGTATTACTCTTTAAAGGGAAAGGTTAGATCTTAGCAAAACTGTCTATCTTCTCCAGCTTCTAGCTCAGTACTCTGGACAGAGTAAGAAGGTGCTTAAATATGTTTACTGGTATGCATTATTCATTGAAAGGATACAATACATATTTGCTGAATGAGGAAATTAATGACTAGGAATAGGAAATGGCTTCTTGACACTGGTAAAGATTGTTACATGGGTATAAATGTAGCCTTGGCTGCCTCTGACCCTGCAACTCACACTCCACATTCCAGTCACCCTGGCAGCACCTCAGTATGCACATGGCACATATGTGTATACAGTTGTAGGTACATGCATGCCATATACATATCTAGGCGTGCATACATATATGTATATAATACATATTGCATATGGTGTCTGTGTCTGCTGCTACTCTGATGAACCTCTCATAGTCTCCACCCCTCACCCTGTCCACCCACCATATTGGGAGAAAACCAGGAAATATGCTGTACATGAGGAAAAGGGGAGGAGGAGAGCACTCTTATGAGAAGCCAGTGGTTCATTTCAGTTAAAAGTGATGACATTCCTAACCAGTCAGTGAAGGAGAAAATGGGGAGAGAGTCCAGAAAAGGCTGGATCTTGGAAAGACGAATGGATAGCAAAATGCCAGAAGCTGTGGGACCCTTGTGGCTACGGCTGAATGGGAGGGGATGAAGGAATCCCACGGGTAGGTCCCTTAATGAAACTCATATAATCAGCACTCCATGGGTCAGAGAGTGCTTTCCTTAGGGCCCTGCCTCCAAACCCAAAAGCTAAACCTTGCAGTCCAATTACATGGATGATTATATCACCAGCATAAATGGGTCATGGTGATTTACAAAAATTTGAAGTATTTCTCAGTTTATTTAGGGTCCTATACTGTTGTTTACTTGTACAGGAAGTAAAAAACCAAGACTATCAGTGACAAGCTGAGACATCTGACCACCTGATCTATACACAAGAAGCTGACACCAAGTATGTCATAAGGACTGAGGAGCAGAGCTGGTCATTTCAAATTATCAAACATCTTAATGATATTCATAGCCAGATCCAATTATTAATAATAATACCTAGTCACTTATATAGCATTTTACAAATAATCTCATTTGATCCTCACTATAATCCTGGGAGGTAGGTACTGTTATTATCCCCATTTTACAAATAAGGAAACAGAGGCAGACAGAGATTAAATGACTTGTTTAGGGTCATACAGTAAATAAGTGTATGAGGTTAGATTTGAACTCAGGTCTCCCTGGCTCCAGATCTAACACTTTATCCACTGTGTCACCTAGATGCCTTCTTATAACTGCTATTAGCAATAACATTCCTCCTCTAGCGCTCCATATCAGTGTTTCATCGAGGTCTGGAGGTGGCCCAGGTTTTTCCAAGACTAGGTCTGAAAAGTACAATTTCCAGGGGGTTCTATCTTGCTTGCAAAGCTTCAAACACAGGCCCTGTGACACTCGGTATGCCTCATCAGAGGACCAGGTGAGACCCATCACAAATTGGTCAGGGGATAACATACTTTTTAGCCACTGCAGTTCTCAAAGACCATCTACTAAGTTGAGGGAAGTTTTATTTAATAATGGTAGAAGAAGTAGCTAAGCTGATAAAATCATACATCTTTGAGGGCAAAAGTCAGTAATGAAGTATTGACTCTAATATTAGAAGCTCATTTACCTATTGCTACATGTGATATGAAGCATCCTAAAAATGCTATCTTATTTGATCAAACTGATGGCCTTTTTCATAAGCTCTCTCAAGGTTTGGTTTGGTCCCCAGCTTGACTGTATCATTTTTATTTCCTCCTTCATGTACATCAATCAATCATCAATCAACCAATGGACCACCTGTTTAAGAGCTGCTCAGAAAATATCGTTAAGGTCCCTACATCTAGACTACAGGGCTTCATAACACAATGTATATGCATACACATATACACATGTTTATACACACATATACAAACATATAATGTACATGTATCAACATACAGATACATATGTATGTCTTTATATACCTCTATATATTGATAACTGAATTTCAACAGTTTCCTCACCAGATTGCCAAAGGGGTCCACGACACAGAAATGATTAAGAACCCCCAAGCCCATATACAAAGGCAGCTTTGCATCCATGTTACCTGTACAGTTGTTGGAGCACATTTAGATATACATACCATGCATTGTTAAAGCTTAGCGCTGCCATCCTCTTTTTGCCTTTTTTTTTTTTGTTGTTGCTGTTCATTTGAAGATTTTTTTGTTGTTATTCAGTGATTCCAGTCATGTCCAACCCTGCATGACCCCATTTGGGGTTCTCTTGGCAAAGATACTGGAGTGGTTTCCCATTTGCTTCTCCAGATTGTTTTACAGATGAGGAAACTGAGGCAAACAGGGTTAAGTGACTTGCCCAGGATCACATAGTTAGTAAGTGTTCAAGGCCAGATTTGAACTCATGAAGATGAATCTTTCTGACTCCAGGCCCTGAAGCTCTATCTACTGCGCCACCTAGCTGCCCCCTCATATGAGGTAGTTAAATTTTTTTTTCTCCTTTCTTTTTTAAGTTTCATTTTCTCCTTTCCTTGTTCGGTCTTCAGTAAAGAAAACTTTCACAAGTAACCAAGAAGCCTTTTCTGATCTCCCTTACTAGTGCCTTCCCTCTGTTGATTACCTCCAGTTTGTCCTGTCTATATCTTGTTTATAAATAGTTGTTTTCATGTTGTCTCCCCCCTCCCAATATTCTGTGAACTTCTTCAGAGCAGGAAATATTTTTTGCCTTTCCTTGTATCCTCAGCACTTAGCACAGGGCCTGATATATAATAGATGCTTAGTAAATGTTATTTACTGATTGACAAAAGGAATAGGTTTTCTTGTTATGAGAGATAATATATAAAAGTGGAAAGAGCAATGGACTGTAAATCAGAAAAACTGGATCCTAAATCTATCTCTGCCACTAATTAGCTATGTGATCTTGGACAAGTTAATTCATTTCTCAGGGGTTCAGTTGTATCTGTAAAATGGGTAGATCAGATAACCTCTAAGGTTCTTCCAACTCTAAATTTATTTTCCGGGACAGCCTCAGTGCTTCCTCCCTGATCCGGCCCCAATTGGGAACTCTGTATGAGGCTACTCTTCAAGACCAAATATGGCAGTTCATTGTACATTCCCCTTTTGTGTAGGAAGGTAATCCAATGAACAAATAAATGATCCATTGTTTCTAATACCCAAGAACCAAGGAAAGCTTATTTGTGGCTAAGAGCTATAACTATGAGTTTCAGAGTTAACCCAAACTTTGTTTCCCAATAGAACCACCCTTGCTCTGATAGCTACTTGCCCACTTAGGAAAAGAAAAAAAAAAGCTTCACAAAAATTCATAACTTCATCCGTGCTGGGTCCCTCCTTTTCAATCCAGATCTCATATAAGCCTTTCAGGCCTTTGTAGACAGTACTTTATAAGCTTCTGTGGCCAAAACAATCTTATCACTCATGGGCCAAAACTCCAGTTATAAGCCTCTCCATTCCTAGTGAGGCTGATCTTCACATGAGAGACACACAGTCCATTACAGAGCCCATATCTGAATCCTTTCTAGCCTCATAGGACCTGCAAGATACTGTGTTCCATTGGTTTAGAGAACTAAGGATCACCTTTACATCACAATGAGGCACGTTAGTGATTGACAGTAGCAATAAAGGAAACAAAGTTCAAATTTCATAGAACATTTTAGGACTGGACACATGAAACTAAGAAGACTAAAGAACTGGATTCAATGCAATATAAAATCCTTGTTCCAGCCCTTTGTGCTCTTCACATGTGTGTACCTATCTTATCTTCCCATTTAGAATACAATCTCTTTGAGAGCAGAGATCAAAGGATCATAGTTTTTGAGATGGGCTTAGGACATTTAGTTCAACCCCGTCTTTTTACAGATGAGGAAACGGAGGCCCATAGTGATGAAGTAACTTGCACAAGATCACATGAGTAGTAAGTAGTACAGTCAGGATTAAGTCCTCTCATTCTACAAGCAATATTCTTTCCATGGCACCATGCCACTGCTCCCCGGGGCCATGTTTCTCAGATATTTCAATCTTCCCTAGCAGATGTTTGTTGAATTAAAGTGAGTTATTTACTTCCTGCTCTCTTCCCAACTCCCCCACATAACTCCATTCCTGTTTTATTAATACACAAATAAGCCAGGTCTCCTACCACTACAAATTTGCAATTATTAAGACTGGAAGATTTAAAAATCCAGTTTAACTTGACCACCGATAATGTGCTGGACACAGCATAAAAGGCATTAGCAAACATCTTTATACTTGGAAATGGAGGTGAGCCAATCACAGAGTAAGAGTGAAAGACAGCAGATGGACTTTTCAATAAGCACATTGACATCCCCAAGACAGCGAAAGACCCAAGTAGCCTCTAAGTCATCACATAAGTATTATTTGGAAGATTTCTAGGAAAGCACATGATGAAAAGGCATGGAGGGTTTGGGGGCCTAAATACGGACTGATCAAAGTATCTAGTCATGAATCCATCAAAGATCTAATAACTATCAATTAATCTCTAACACAGTGATTATGAGAGAAAGATACAATTGCCTCCAAACAAACATCCAGCCAAATCTTCATTATACTTAGAGATAGAAGGCAGTCCCCTTACCTCTTCAAACATCCAGTTGATTTAAAGCTATTATAACAGGATTAAATCAAAAGGGGATCCAGATTGGGATTATGCATGGATACATACAACCCAAAGTCGTGTGCTTTGAATTTTCTATAGTTTTGTCTTATTCTAGTTATTTATCTCCTACATTTACAGAGATATTCAAGATTACAAATATGCAGTCTAGTAATATGAGACAGCTAAAATAACCATGATGACCAGCAGAAGAGTTAGAAGTAGCTTTGAGTATTTAGTCAGTGAATGCAACATGGAGAACAGAAAAGAAAGGGATGAAAATAGGAGGTTTTTCATAAATTTGATTGCTTGCCCAAGATTTACATAGGGTACTCCATACACATGTATAAATATGACTCACCTATTTGCTGCTCAGGAGATGCAACTACCTGCCCACTGCTGGTAGACTGGCAAAAGAAAATATACAAATATTTTACATACCTTCCATTTGTATACAAATGTGCAAATAGTTTAGTAAATAAAGGAGATCTCATTGTCAAGACTTTAAAGTCCTGGACGAAGACCCCAACAAATCTCAGATCCTCTTCCTAACCACCATTGACTCACCATTCTTTGTGCCTCAGTTTTACCATTTGAAAAACAAGTTAGAAAGAGCAGACTGCCTGAACACTTAGGATTCACATGATTAGGTTTGAAAATATCCTTGATCCATTGAAATCAAAAGCTCCTATATTCACATTCATGGGTCTTGTTTCTATTTTTTCTGAACTAGTGCAGCTGCTTTTTTGTTGGAATCTCTGTTTCCAATCTGGCCCCCAATTCACTTTATTACCAAAGAACAGATAAGTTCAGAGCTGGGAGTAACCTCAGAGATCATCTTGTCTAGCCCAGAAATCTATACCTCAAGCCTCCCTTTGCCCTTTCCATGCGCCTGTCTGTGTGTCTGTAGGATGGGGTGACTAGCATTACCACTTCACAGCAACCAGAAAAAGGATCAGAAAGCACTTCATGGAGTGACTACCAGAGTTATCTCTCTCTCACACACACACACACACTCACTCTGATATGTAGTAATCCACCTAAGAATGAGCTCAGGCTTACCTCTCTGAGTGTGGCTAACTCCTTCTGTAGGTGGAAGAGCTGAAACAGTCCCATTCCCAGTCCAGCCAGGGCCACCAGAACCATAAAAAAGATCAGAAGAAGATAGAGACTTGTGTTATTAGTCCTCTTCTTTAGAGATGAGCAGGGTAGAAGAGGCAGGGGCGGAGGGGGTGCATGTGACAGTGGTGGTGGTGGCGGCGGCGGCGGTGGCGGTGGCCTCCTCAGACCAGCCCTTCCAGGCATGGGAGGTGGACAGGGAAGAGCTGTCAGTGGAGGAGCACAGGAAGGGCTGGCATTGCTGTCCACGCAATAGATTTGAGGGTAAAGATAATTCAGGTTCTGCTGCATGGCAGACAAGTAGTAGCAGCGGTTGGTTCTTCTGGTGTGGAAAGCGCTCTTCTCTTGCTTTCTGGAAGGACCAATCCTCCTTCCGTAGAAGTAAGTGTTGAGCCGAGCAGGGATGAAAGAAAGAAAGAAGCTCAGGTCTGTCTTTATACAGCCACAGCAGCCCAGGGAAGTCTCCTTCTTGTTCTCAACATGTGCAGATTCTCTGAGAAACACCTGCTCTCTGAGGAAGCCTCAGAAAGCTTAGAGCAAACCTCTGAGAGTTTCCACCCACAATCTTCTGACGTAAACTTTCAAAAGCTTCGGGCCACTATCCCTGCCTGGGTGAGTGGGAGAGCTAGACCTAGCCCTCAGACCCTACTAGAGCAAATTCAAGTCAACCAACATTTAGTAAGCACCTACTGTATGCCAAGATTATTCACTGACAGACCACCCCTAGACACTCCAATGCTAAGCTTATACTTCCCATGGAGGGGAGGATTTGCCCATTCCCCTCCTCCCACTAGCCACAAGAACAAAATATACCAGGTTGGCCTTCTGCATCATAGCTAAAATCTGGTCATTTTGGCATAAGCATAATTTTACAAGCTTATGTGGATGCTAGTAATGAGAACAGCACACATTACTTTCATTCTCTAGAAAGGTTAACTTTAATCTTCGTTGCACAAGCATTAACTTTCCTTTTCTCTATTCCTTTTCACCCACCACTGACTGATGGTCACTGAGAACATCCTTGAGAATATCAGGATAAGTAGGATGGCATTTACTGTTGTGCACATCAAAGGAAGTTAACTTCCTTTTAAGCCTCATCCCCAAAGCATTCATCTCAGCAGTGATCAGCTCTTTTCACACAATCTATTTTTCCTCAACTTAGCCCTCTGATGTAAATTGAAGTTCTGGGCTGGTACATGAAGCTGTTCATACTTCGTAAGACCTGCCAGAAGCTTGGTAGCTCCCACATCACGTCTCCCTCTCCCTTCTCTGCTCCAGATCAAAAATACCTGCTTCCTTTGAACAATTCTTCTCTGGCCTAGCCTCAAGTCTTTTCCACTGCTTACTAACTTTGTACCCCTGCACAAGTCAGTACATGGAAGAGACCATAAACTAACTTTGCATATGTAAGTACTGGTGGATCCAATACTACATTGGGGTGGTAAAAACGTAGGGAGTAGTGTAAAGGTGGAATAACATGTACACACCAAATGGTTTTCATTGCCTGGAAATGCTTGTGTCTCATGGCCTTTCTCATCAATGCTCTTTTTTATATATGATGCTCAACTATACACACACACACACACACGTACATATATGTATCACACATGTGTGTGCGTGAGTGAGTGCGTGTTTATGTGTGTGTAAGAACTGAGTTCAAATCCTGCCTCAGACACTTACAAGCTGTGTGACCCTGGGCAAGTCACGTCACACTGTTTGCCTGTTTCCTCATCTGTAAAAGGAGCAGGAGAAGGAAATGGCAAACCACTCTAGTATATTTGCCAAGAAAACCCCAAATGGGGTCACAAAGATTCAGACATGCCTGAAACAACTGAATGACAAAATACATACATGCATGCATGCATACATGTATATGTGTGTATGTAAAACACACATATAACAGATATTAAAAATATAAATACATGTATATATAGTTTGTGGTCCAATCAAATGTCCTAAAGACCAATTTAGATATCAAAGTCATTTTTTCATGTCACCCACTCCTTCCTTTTTGAGTTTAAAAGAGGTTTGTTGGGGGCACAGACACCTAGAAAGCAGTTTTCATTTCAAGATCTCCTAAGCAAGTAAATCTTCAATATGCAACCATATGATATTGCTTCCATTTCTGGTAATAAAAAATAATAATAATTAGCATTTTTATAGCACTTTAAAGTATGCCAAGTACTTTACAACTCTTTCATTTTATCCTGAAAACAACCTTGGGAGACAGAAGCTATTATTATCCCCATTTTACAGATGGGAAAACTGAAAGTCAGAGAGTTTAAGTGACTTGCCCAGTGTCAGAGAGCTAGTAATTGTCTGAGACTGAATTTAGACTCAGGTCTTCCTGATTCTGGGTCCTGTGCTCTGTCCACTGTACCACCTAGATGCCTCTACATCATTTGGGTATGTATCAGTTGCCATCTTTTTTATATTGGGTATGAAAAGCTCAATATAAATAAAAGGAAGGGTGTGGTCCAACTAACAGAGAGAGCTCCAGATCTGGCATTGCCTTTTTAGTTGAATCATTTAATTTCTCTGGGCCTCAGTTACAAAAGGGCTTCATCTCTAGATCTCCTGCCAACTTCTTAGCTATAGTCTTAATCATAAATAGGAGACCACGAAAGGAGCTGGGAAAAGATGTAGTCCCCTCCATTTTATTGCTAACTTGGCAAGTGACCTTTTGTTCTCTAGAAGTTATGAAATTAGTCAGTCAATTAGCATATATTAAGTGTTTACTCTGTGCCAGGTAACACAAATACAAATATGAGAATACAAAGAAAGGCAAAAAAAAAATAATCTGGGCTCTCAAACAGCTTACAGTCTAATGGGAGAAACAGCTTGCAAACCATAAACAAACAAGATACATACAATAAATTACAAGTACCAGGGGGAAGGCACTTGCATTAAGGGGGGATTGGAAAGGATTCTTGCAGATGGTAAAACTTTAGCTAGAACTAAGGAAGCTAGGGAAGCCAGAAGGTGGAGATAGGGAGAGAGAGGGTTTCAGACATGGCAAACCGCCAGTAGAAATGGTTGGAGTCTGGAGATAAAGCATCATGAGCTAGGAACAGCAAGGAGGTTAGTTGTTGGAGGAAGACCACTTTCACATATTAGTGGAGGACGGACTAAAATGGGAGAAACTTGTGGCTGGGAGACCAACCAGCAAGCTAGTACAATAATTCAAGCACGAGGCAAGGCGATGAGGCCCTCACCATAATGGTGGCAATGTCAGAGGAGAGAAGGGCATGTATGTGAGGGATGATAGAGGTAAAAGCAATAGCCCTTGGACATTGATTGGACATGAGGATTGAGAGAGTGAGGAATTGAGGATGATGCATAGGTTTTGAGCCTGAGTGACTAGGAGTAATATTGTTGTAGCATCCACAGCTATAGGGAAGTGAGGAAGAGGGGAGAGTTTCTGGGGAAAGACAATGAGTTCTGTTTTGGAAATGTTAATCTTTAGATTTCTGTGAAACAACCAGTTTGAGATTGGAGATGAGAAATTCAAGGTCCAGAGACAGGTGAGGGCTGGACAAATAAGTCTGAGAATTATCTGCATAGAGATGACAGTTGAATCCATGGGAGTTGACGAAATCACCAAATGAAACAATACAGAAGAGGAGAAGAGGGTCAAGGATGGAACCTTGTGGAACACTCACAAGTTAAAGGGCATGACCTGGATAAAGATGCAACAAAGGAGACAGAGAAGGAATGGTCAAATAGAACCAAGAAAGCATAGTGTCCTAAAAACCTAGAGAGAAGAGAATATAAAGGAAAAGAAAGTCATTGACAATGTCAAAGGCTCTGGAGAGAGATCAAGAAGGATCAGGATTGAGAAAAGTCTATTAGTTTGGGGAGTTAAGAGATCATCGGTAACTTGGGAGTTAACAGTTTTGGTGGAATGATGAGATCAGACCACAAAGTTAAGAGGAGAGGAAATGGAGGCATCAATTATAGACAGCTTCCTTAAGGAGTTTAGCCACAAAAGGGAAGAGAGGTATGAGATGATAATACTAGGGATGGACAGATCAAGTGAAGGTTTTTTAAGTACAGGAGAGACATGGACATGTTGGTAGTCAGTTGGGAAGCAGCCAGATACAGGGAGATTGCAGATAAGTGAGAGCTGAGATGTTGGAGGGGGCATCGTGCCGGAGCAGATGGTATGGAATGGGAACCCTTGTACATGCAGAGCGGTTTGCCTTGGCAAGAAGGGGTGGAGGACATAGTGGAAGGAAGTATCAGAGCAGGTGAGATAATGAGGAGGGAAGACCAGAGAGCTCTCTGTGAATGACCTCAACTTTTTCAGGGGAATATATGAGGTGAGGTTTTCAACTGAAAGAGTCGGGGGGAAGGGGAGCCATGGGAGGTTTGAGGGAGGATGATGAATTTTTAAAAAGCCACAGTAGTAGTAGTAGTAGTAGTAGTAGTAGTAGTAGTAGTAGTAGTAGTGGTGGTGGTGGTGGTGGTGGTGGTGGCGGTAGTAGTAGTCAATTAGGGAGTAAAAGGATTGCCTTGCTGAGTGGGGACCCAGTTGAAATGATGTAACAGAAATTTGCAGTGGACCAAACTAGCATGGTTTCATTCTCCATCTTAATCTAACAGCGTGTGGCAATGGGTGTGATTCTGGAGAATTGATTGGTGAGAGGAACAGCTGAATAATCACAGAAGTCAGTTCTCCTACTCGAGGCCAAGCCTGGCAGTCAGGTTCAGATCTGAATGGGCTATTCTGTAACAGCTGGTAGCAGCTTTAGAAGGTCCAGCCAAGGCAATCCTCTGCCCTTTGCAAGACATTAAGATGGGATGTATTTTAGAACTGATCCAAGTTTTTGTATATCCTCCAAATTGGATGCAATAGGCTTGGCCCAAACTAAACCCAGGGTGATTTGGTCCTGAAGTCTCAGGAGGCCAAAAGAAATTTTGCCTCCAGGAAGCTTTCAATAAATACTGGGGTGACCTGGTGCAAACCCAAGTGTCCCAGAGTCATGCCAGCACAAACCATCCTTTAGGGCCGAGGGTAAGAACGGAATGATCAATGAGAATGGACTGGAGTTAAGAAGGCTAGGACAGAAATACAAAATTGAGGCAGTCCCTGCCCTCAAGAAGTTTTTACCCTGAGTAACCTAGGGATTTTGGCAGCTGATCATTGGAAAAGATGGGGAAAGGACAGATCACAAAGTAGTCTTGGAATAGCGAGTATTAGGGATGATACTAAGTGGGTATTCACCCAGAACTCAGCCAGGCTCATGACAATGCTTTAATCCACTCAGTCAGTGAAGATACTTATCTTTCAGATTGCTTCCTTGTCTGATAAAATGTAATTGGGATCTTGGCCTCAAGCACAGCTCTAGAGTTGGTTTTCCTAGGCTTTAGCTGATTTCATCTCTCTATCACCTCACTCTTTATGCCCACTTACCTGTACTCATCCAGTTCCATAAAATCATCCTCATCCCTGAGGATCCTCATCCCCTCTTCTGGGGAACTGAGGTCATTGTTGCC